AGTGCTTTAACACCGGCTATTATCGTTTTGCAACCGGTTCACCGACGTCCAGCACCGGCGGAATTCCCTGGCGCTCGACCGTCTTCCTTCCATCGACTTCGACCAATCGATAGCAGTCAATAAGGATCTCTCCCCGGGCGGAAACTTCACGCACGCCTGGACTGTCCATTTGCCCTCCCTTAATTCACGGTCGTAAACGATCGCATAAATAGCACGGAATTTTCAATTCGAACTCGGACGCGACACACCCTTCCCGAAACCCGAATGTGATCCAACCTTTTTACGTTGCAAACGGAACAGTCTGATGGGATTGGCAAAAAATGAATCGAAGAAATTTCTCTTTCTTTCGAGAAGTGTGGAATTTTTTTAAGTACGAATTGTACGTGGAAGACTGGAGGATTTTGCTTCTGCGAAAATGAGTATTTTGAAATTATTAATATAACTGTATATCGGAATTGGCAAAAAATGAATCGGAGAAATTTCTTCGAGAAGTGTGGAATTTTTAAGTGCGAAGAATTTTTAGTATAACAGTCTGATGGGATTGACAAAAAATGAATCGCAGAAATTTCTCTTTCTTTCGAGAAGTGTGAAATTTTTAATTGCGAATTGTACGTGGAAAACTGGGGGATTTTACTTCTGCGAAAATAAGTATTTTGAAATTATTAGTATAACAGTATATCGGAAAATAAATATTTTAAGATATTCTTGTAATGTTGCCATTTCACTATGTTTTTTTTTTTTTCTATGAAAAGATTGCAGTTTTTCTTTAGATTAATAAACGTTATTAATGACCAAAACATTTGGGGGAGGCAAGGGAATGTCATGTTACATGTTTATGGAAAGTTTCTACACATATCCGCGAATATTTTCCGTGAGCCATTATGAAGGAACAATACTTTAAAAATTATGAAAATATTGGGAAGAAAACACGTATAGTCTGTAACAGGGAAAATTTTAAAACAAAATCGCTCCTACAAAAAGTACAAGAGATAACCAATCTTACATTTTTATATTTTCTAATCAGTGGAATGATTGAAATAAATCGATGAAAAAATTTTAAATAACTAGATAATATATATACTATAAAATGAAAAATATGCTTTCGTTGCAATTTTATTTATAACATAGTATTTTGTGAAAAAGTAAAAAGTAATATTGATAACGAAATGTTTATTTATTTTTGAAAAATTCAGAGTTGAAATTTTATCGTCCTCTACAATTGGTGAAATTCACGATTAAGCTTGGTTACAATAAAATTTTCGCCTAAAAATTGCTTCCATTAAGAGTAATATTTGCAAAGGTCAATCCTTCGAATTTTCCATTGCTTGGCCATTATTAACTCGAATTTAAATACCTCATGGCGATCGATATTGTCAATATTATCAGATTGTCGCAGATGAAACGGTGAAATTTTTAATGTAAATTCCAATATTTATAATAAAAATAATATTAATCATATTTGAATTCCATACATTCGATACATTATGAAATAATCTCACAATGATCATAATTAAAATCTTTAGTCAGTCATTCTTGACAATTTTCCGATCCATTTTCTTATATTTCTTATATTTGCATTTTGTAATCTAGTTATTTAAAATTGTTCACATGAATGCTAGGTTCTTCTATTGATGTAATTTTTCGATAACTTAGTATTAGCCTGTGTTTGCTTCGTCAGATTATTTCTAACTTTTGTAAAAAATTCACTGTAGTTTGATGGTTATTCGTAGTTCGTTTTGTTCATTCGTAGTTCAACCTTTTCATAATAAAATGACAGAACGTCGATCGTGTTGAATTCGATAAACTTCAAATCATTAATCACTTTGGACAGGTGGGAACAGACTCCTGGAAAACTATTATTTCAATTCGTTTCCAAATACAGAATTATACGTTAGAATTGTTGTCTCGAATACAACAATTATATTAATTATCATTATCGCGAACTCGTTGTTCACACAGTAAGGATAGATACTGGCAATTAAATATCATTGCCTAATACATTTCATAAAAATTAAATGTTCCGTGTCCCAAAGCTCGGCAGTCAACGTGTTGAAATTGGCCGAGCTCACGCGTTGAAAGAGTACTCCGACGAAGCGGGGCTCGTTTCTTAATTTAAGGGAACGCGGGGGGACTTCCGGCGTTATCCGGGAATTCTAATCGGAAGTCAGCGAGATGGCCGGTTCGTTTGAAGCCGAGCACGAACGGCGAAAGATTCTTTAATTTCGAATTCCGACGAACTACCGGGGCGAAACTCGACGATTGCTGCGGGTACTTTTAGGGAAATGAAACTCGGGGGAGGAGCGGTGAAACGGCCCGCGCGGTGGAATTCTCGCGGAACATCCGGCACACAGTTAAGAAATGCTTTCACGGTGGCCTCGACACCTTGAGAAACAGCATTCACCCCTCACCCCCGAAGAGATGAGTTTTAGGCATCGTTTGAGGATAATCGAGCGTTGAACTGGCCGACGGAGGCATCCAACTCGCCTGGATGAATCACTTCTCTTCGATGTACTTCTTCACGGTGCTTGTCTGGAATACATTTTCTTGATAAATGACAAACGTCGGAGTACGGTTCTTTCTTCTGACATTTACAGGCCGGCGCGGCAACTAGACTGATACTTCCTGTCGACGTTGGCCATTCGATACCTGGCGAATTAACATTAATCGTCGGGCTGCGAATTTTTATGCATTTGCGCGCACAAAAATGCACAGAATGTATCGCAATGGGAGGAAATATGGAAACAAACGCGAAACATACTCGTTCAAATACGGTATATTCATTATTATATACGAGATACTCCAAGTTCCACTTTTCAAATTATTTTAAATTATATTTGTAAAAATATGAGAAATATTTACACGAAAATCCGCAGTGTATACCAACGGTGTATTTTGCATTGATGTTGTTTCAATGAAATTTTACAATATCAATACAGTCCTTTGCATAACGACGTTAATAAAAGTTTGAGAACCAGATAAATGAAATTTTGTAAATATGCTTTTCGAGTTACAAACTATCAAGGTCTATAATTCGCAACTTTTAATCTGTGGACTTGATTAATACTAGAACTAGAAATGTTTGCAACGCTTGTGCCGAGGATATTGAAGTTCAAGAAACAAGAAGAACAAAGAATATAGAATTTTACTTTAGAAGATACTTTAGTAGACTGTAAAAATTTATTTTACAGTTGTAATCTATCGTAATACCTATTTTGAAACGATTAACCTGTTATTGTTTCTTTCGTTATATCCTTGTTATTTTTGGAGATAAGAAAAAAAATTGTTAACAAAAATTATATCGCTGTAATATATAATTAATTTTTCGTAAGTAAAGGTATTTCAGGATCATCTCCACTTTCTTAGATGGCACAATATATTTTTTAATCCATCAATCGATATAGTTCCAAATTCTCTATAAAAATGTATTAATCTATGTGTATTGAAACATTATTAGTATGACAGATATTAATAATGGTAATCGCTCGAATTCACTGTTGTAATTAAACGATGAATCTCCCTTGGATTTGTATTTCAGCATTAAAAAAATATCACCACATCATTCCGAACTTATGAAATAATAACAGCGATATTAATTATTTAAACAGGAAATCTGGTAAAATGCAAGCAAGGCTGGGTAATTCTTTATATAACTGCTAACTTTTATACGTAATTGAATAATTAATTTTCCCGACAACTCTATTGAAAATTGAAAAGATAGCAGTCGACTGTAATTAGTTCTAATTAGATTAACAGACACATGAAAAAAGGCACGCGTTATTTAAACGATCAGGTCTATATTATACTGCTGGAAATTACGTAAAAGAACGTAAAGCCAAGCAAAGTGAATCGAATATTCTCCTTTCCAGCTTTCTGTTACACATTCTTATGCAGAAAGAATCTCAATGTTAAATGCAAGAAAAATTGAAAGACAAACTAATCGCACAAAAGCTGATTAGCTTATCTTTCAAATGGCTAATTTATTACTGCGTTGATGAAAACTTCGGTGACCATCCGCGAGAGTAATTGTTTTATCAAATGTACCTCGCGTTTGTTGACAGAAAATTCGCAATTTTCCAGTCACTATCTGTTTTACCACAATGTTAACCAATCGTCAATCTCCTTTCTTCTTCTTTTTCTTCGTTCGCAAAGAGTTAGAAATTTCGCAGTGACCGGCCCGGAGAAAAAGAGACAAAATCGCACGATCGACGATCCCGTGATTCGATCCCGAAATTAACGAGCGGAATTTCCATTCGCATCCTCGTCGCCGTGACTTCTTCATAGGGACCATTCCGTGGCAGTGTAGAGGGCTCACGTGATCACCGTGGAAAACACGTCGAGCACACTTCTGCGGCATTCCGGATAAAGGGCGTGGCAGTTTTCCGTCGACATCTGCTCGCCCAAACGTTCGGCCGCGCGGTACTCCCGATCCCCGTATTCGTCGTAACGTTCCTCGGTGCTCGAAGGCCTGGAATTCCAGCGAGTTCGCGTTCGAGTTTCCCCGTGAAAAAATTACAATCGTCGCCGCGAGAGATCCAGGTCTGGAGAGGAATTCGGGATCAGGGGGCGAGGAAAGAAGTGAGAAGCAGAGAAAGAAGGAAACAGAAAAAGGAGGAAGAAGAAGAGAGAGTGAGAGAGAGAAAGAGAGGAAAGGGTGAGCAGAGCAGAGGGTGGCAACCAGGATCGATAACGCGACCGGATACGCGGGAGAAGCCCCGAAGTTATTTCGCAGCTTCCCTCGCGTTAATTGGCGCCGCGTTATGCAGACCAACCGCTTAATCTCTCGGCACGCTACTCTGCTAATTCACCGGTTAACTACTACGTCATCGTAACTTGGCTTTTAGTGCGATCAAGTCGAGGGGATTTTATCGTGTTGCCTCAACATTCGGTCGCTTTACGACGTGATCGGCACTTGCAGTCCAAGTCATATTGTGTTCCGTTCAAAGGCGTTTAAAATTGATTTCGCAAGCTTCCTGGACCAAAGGCGAGACCTACGGATTTCGCAACTTGGTTTCGCCACGTCGAATTTCTCGCTCTTCCGAATAGTGAAACAGAAGGGATTTGCAGCGATTTCGTAAGTTCGAATGTGGAAGGTTGAGTTTCACCTTGCAACGTTTCATTTTGACGGGCTTTCCGATCTGTTAGGTTAGTTCAATAATTAATAACATGCTGTAAGAGATGAATCTCTGTAAAAGATGAAACTTATTATTCGAATGAAAATTGATATTGGGTTATTGCATTTGCTTCCGGTAAGAAGTTTGGATTAGTTTCGTAAGCTTGGGTGTGGATTAGAGAAGGAGAATTGGATTTCAGTTACGACGTTTTAGCTCGTCGAATTTCTTCAACTTTCTAGATAATAATATGCATCAATAGTCGAAAGCTAAAATGGATATTATAAAAAATAAATCTCTAAAATCTATTGACTTATTGTTGAATTAAAATTAAATCTACATATATAACAATCTTTGTCATGAGATCTACATGAATATTGAACGAAAATTGAAGACGCTTCAAGAACAGAAGTTCCCAACTTCTAGGAGAAATTTCACGATTTTCAAGGGTGAATCAAGGGATAATTTATGATCAAAAATGAAATTTGACAGCACCGGAGACTGAATTCAATCGATAGTTTCCTAAACTTAGTAATGATTATTTGAACCTAAATCCGAGGAAATGATCGTCAGAATAAGTTTCCGCAGCTAAAGACTGATTCAATAGCAAGAGTTATGTTCAGTGTGAAATAAGTCACAGAATTTTGAACCCTAATGTTGGAGTCCTATTCAAAAGTAGCAGAAAAAGTTATCCATACATTGCTTTCATTCGTGTTCACGTGTCCTTTGTGAGTCAGGCTTTTCAATTTTTATTGCAAGTGAAAGCAAAGTATGCTTCGTCAAACATTTCGAAATCTCAAATTTGGCAAAGGCGAAACAATCCCCGAATGTCCCATTAGTTGTTACCTCCATCAGGATTGGATTGAATTGAATTTTTATGTCATCAAAATAAACTTATTTCACGTACCGATATCTGAAAACATTTCTATATTTTGCATTTGCAATAAAATCGCTTTTTGAGAAAACAAGAAATTCACACATATACTTTAATATGAACTTTCTATTTACTAATTAATTTAAATTAACTATTTACTAATTAATTTAAATTAATTAAAATATTCGTTTGTTTGAATCAGTTGAAATTTCAAAATAAACGACCCAAAATGACGACAAGAAGAGTACGTAGGGTAAAAATGTTTAGGAACCACTGTACTGAAAGTATTCTTTCGCGTTCTTGGAACAAAACAACATGGACAAAGATCATTTTTCGTTACGAGTTTCTGTACGAAAACTCAAGTCACATTTTCATTGATCGTGAATACCATGACACAATAGCGATTAGGCAACAAGAGATTGAAGTTACTTACTTGAAGAAGACGTGCAACAGCTGTCCCAGTAAACCGTGACGCCCGTCAAAAGGAGCAGACGCAGCTTCGCAAATGGCCTTCAATAGGCAGGCTTTCCCGCCGAATCCGTATATATCGGCGACCTTTTCCAGCGTCTTGTAAATGCTCCATCTGCTCTTCTGCGTTCGGGAGTAATAGACTCCCGGGATAGTATAATCTGTCGCGTTGGAAGGCATGGCGTATATGATCTTCGTAAACAAACCGACGATCACACTCTCTCGTTCTAGTTGCAGAGGTGTACCCAGCCCAAAAATCAGCTGTTGAACAGAATTTCGAAACGAAGTGACGATATGAGAGACTGAGAGAACGTGAGAATGCGTGAAATGTGAAAGATGGGTGCAAATTATTCGATAGATAAAATGACCAAATTCTTAATTCGTTCGTCCCTCATTTTTTTTGACTTTAATTGACATAATGGTGAGAGATTAATATTTATGATACGATGATAGATAGTTAAATTTGCAGATTCTTTTTATTAACCCGACGATACACACGTACGTAGGTTTCTGAAACGAAAATATTTATACGAAGAACGCTCTATTAACATTTAAAAGTACATATATATATACATATACGAATATTAACTTTATTTCAAAGAATCCAAGATATTTATAATTGGACAAATTAATCTAATTATCAGATCAATCATGTGTGTGCTGCCAGGTCTATGTAAGATTCACACAAATCTCAGATATAAGTGTTCAATCTCATATCGCAATTTCAATTTCGATCTTATTTGTACTCCAGTTTCGTATAACTTTACGATCGTTTCTTTCGGATTTGTTCGAATTCTTTTCCAATTATAAATGGCTGTGCACATTTTCGAAAGGGTGCTACATTGAATGCATAACTATAGTATAATAATTAGAAGACAATGTACTGCCTCTTCAAGGGACTTAAAAACGAATATTATTTGCAATTCTGACGATATACGTTATTATCAGAAATGTATGTCATACATTTAAATAAATTAAAATAAATGTTACATGTAATGTGGTTGTGCCTACGTGCAAAGTAAAATAGCGTAACACTTTGTAAGAGAAACATGTTATAACGTTTCTTGAAAATACTTTTCTTCTACTTCTTTTTCTCTTAAATAAATGAATTAATATACAAGTAAATGATAAATTATATTTCCATTCGCAGTTGAATAATCACCGACTTATAATTGTTTCTAACCAACTTCTTCCTCTAATTTCTCTGTTTTCTGTCTGAGATCTCAGTGCGCTCGCTGCGAGAATGATACAATACAGAGTGTACGAAATCAAATACAGAAAACGCACGGTATAATTTTGGCCATCGGTGTAAACAATTTAACCGAGAAATATGAAACCGCAGGGAAGCAAGAATCTCCGAGACATATATTCCTCGTCGTGTCTTCACTTCGCGAGATATTTCTGACTTTCGTGAGCTCTCTTTCCGAGAACGTTCCCGTCGATACGAGGTGGACCACGTAGACGCCGGCGATTCGATCAGAGAACTCGTTATTATAGCGGTTATTCACGAGGAGGCGAGCAGCCTGAAGGGGAAATTGGATGAACTCAGACGAGAGCGGGTTAAAATCCCAGTGGCGACCGGTGCCAAAAACGTATCTCTCGTTCGCTTCTGCTAAAAAACAACTGTGAACGTACCGTTCGTTAATCGTGATTCCGACTTCTCGAATTTGGCCATCGGACTCGTAACTCTTGCGCGCACG